AGTAGTACCTTCTCTTTTTATCTTCCGATTCCTCGTCCTTTGGCACCTTTAACGATTCACGTACGATAACTTCTATTGAAACTTTCCAAAGTGGAAATTTTTACTTCGTAATAACACTATGACAACGAAACAAGAGTAGACGAAAAATGCGAAGAAATATTTCCCTTGGAAGAATTTTTCGTCGCAAATTCGAAGAATAATTTCTCGTTATCGATTCATGCAAATCGGAGAAAAGAAATACTTCATTGTCGACGGATAAAAGGTTAAAGAATGAAGGGTATCGAACGACGTAACAAGTACGAATATTATAAAACATTAAAATAAATCTTGTTAGAGAAAGAGTTGGAAATAGGCTAAACGTTGTAAAAGAAGATATACTTAGGAGAGAGTAGGCGGATGACAGGAGAGGGAAAAAGGAATAGATAAATACGATTCGAAGACCAGGAGGATAAAGTGTGTTTCGAAGTGCACCGGTTTTGTGTCCTCCCGGGAGTTTGATGGTAAAGCGAAAGAACAGAGAAAAGGGTGGAAGAATAGGAAGAAGGTGGACGAGTAGGAGGAGTGAAATAGGGAGGTTGGAGAGACCGGGGGGGTTTGTTCTTGAACGGGCGCAGACTGCATTTCAAACAGGACTAACTCCTTATTTCTCGAAGTCCTTGTTCGGGTATTAAGTCTACGTCGGTTTCGCTATCGTAACTCCTTCGTCATTTCTCTCTCTCTCTCTCTCTCTCTCTCTCTCTTTCTCTCTTTGTCTTTCTATCTTACATATTATCGTCTCCTTTTATTATGGTTCTTGTCATCTCCAGGGAAACCTCTAATTGTCAAGCCTCGTCGTGCTATTTCACAGAAGGACAGTAATAAAATTGTCAGAGTTCGCAAATGGTACGATAAGAGAAAGAGAAATGGTTCAGACGAAACGCGCACATTCGAACTTCCACTCACTAGAGACAAACTCGAGATGAGATATTCATCCATCCCGACAATCATTCGATGATAGCTCTATTCTTGGATTAAATCGAAATTCATTCTTTCCAATTAGCGATATGGCGATTTTTATCGAACGATTAATAGTTCTCATAACGACACCCATGCCGTTCACCTTTGATGAAAGATAGCGAGGAAAAAGGTTTCGTCGAAATAAAATATTTTCGACAATTGTGAAATTTTAACCTTTCGTTGACGTTCCATCGTTATAGAATGAATTCGAAAGGAATTCGTTCGAACAACAAACGGTATTATTAATGAAAAATAGTTTGGCTCGTATCGATTTTTATTTTCTCAGGATCACTCGAAATATTTCAAATCCTTTCCAAAATATTTCAAATATTGATCTGATAGAAGAACGTCGAGAACGTCAATGAAAGAGACAACGTCAACAGGACGCATAGTATCGAAAGAATTCGAAGAATCTTCAAAGGATAATTGAAGATATGAAAGAACACTTGCGAAACTCTAAGTAGTGTTAACTTAGTAAGTTTTTCTCAAAAATAAGAATCACCTACTCGATATTCGATACTTCGTAAAATTATCTTAAAATCGCGATACTCTAATCGATATACATACATGTTACGTTATACGTAAAGAACATTGAAGTACGGGAGTCGATGAATGAAATTATTTACAATCCCATTGTCGAAATAAAGATTTTATCGTTATATTTATATTTCTTTTTTGTCAAAGAAATTTCATCGAAGGATTAATTTATCGAGAAATTTTATTATAAAATATTAAAACAAGTACCTAGTTACATTAAAAAGTATAATTAGCTTCTAATTATAATTGCATTTAACGCGAATAGAAATTTTCCTTTTTGAAGAAATAATAATAATAATAAATGTGCATCCTTTCGCGTACCGCGTGTCCTGATCCTTTTCCGTCTCAAAGCGAACAAGTAATGAGGTTTTTAGTGAAATCACATATCGACAAGAAGTCGGAGCATTCGAGAGAGAACGATCGGAAACGTCATTAAAGTTCCTTTGAACTTTGGAGCGTAAATCTCGCGTACGATGTACGGACGTAGTATTTCACAACGATCCCGGAAAAGGCCGAACGTCGTTCGAACTAGAGGAGGGTTTAGAGAGGGTGTAGACGTCTCTGGGAGACCCGATCGAGTCTACGTTGGAATAAAAAGCTAATCTCATTCCCAAGCCCAGTTTGGGACCAACCTTCGACAAAGCTCTCGCTTTCTCGTTTCTTCCTCTTTCCACGTTCCACCGAAAAACTTTCAGCGAAATAACTTCGATGCTCCGGATATCGTAGAAGGGACGTCGATACTTTTCGACTATCCGATTCTTCCTTGAAACTTCCAATAAACTCTTTCACGACAAAATTCACGTAACACACGTGTAGTTTCACCGACGATGAACGTGGCCTGACACTCGAAGGAACGATTCCCTCCTCCTTACTTCCTTCCTTCCTTTTTTTTTCTTCTTTCTTGTACTTCTTTCTTTTCCCTATTTCTTTTCTCTTCTCTTTCTTTTTTTCTTTTCTCCTCTTTATTTTTTTCTTTTTCTCTTTCTTTTTTTTTCCTTTCTTTCTTTCTTTCTTTCTTTCTTTCTTTTTTATCGAACCAGCAACGATCCTAGCTTGTTCGAGAAAAGTACAAGTAGAATGAAAAAAAAAAGGTACGTTAAGAAAAGTTCGTTTCTCGCTTTTCTTACTTCACGTCGACAAATCACGGTTGGAATCGTCAAGGAGGAAGTGAAAAAGAAAGAAGGGAGAAAAAAAAAGAAGAAGTAAAAGAACACACCAAATATAGGAGAAGTTAACGAACTCGCTCGGAAGCACTCGCGACGACTTCAGATAAACTCGCACTTTATTTTCCCGCCAGTACGGAGGGCGAGGGTCGAAACATTTCCGGTTTCCCTTGTACGAGAACGAGACGGTACTAAAGCATTCGCGAGGTTCTTCTGCGAGGTGCCACCCTCAGCAACGGGGCTGTGGCCCGATCGCGCCTGCGTTACGCTCCTGCGCGCGTATAACCTCGCCATTCTCTTCCTCTCTCTCTCTCTCTCCCTCGCCCTCTCTCTCTCTCTCTCTCTCTCTCTCTCCCTTTTTATTCGTTAGCTCGCCAGCATCTCTCTTCTATGTACCACCTTACCAGGCTCGTCAGAGCGACGAGTGTCGCTAACGCTTGTCATTAGAATATTTTTCCATGTGTTTACTTTAAATTCTTCTAATTACCGCCCACCTCGCCCACCCCTCGAGTTTGCCATATCCAATTAATGTACGCGAAACGTATGCGTTCATTCCGTTACCTATGTTACATTTTTCTCCCACGAAACACAAAACACTTTACTTTTCGTATATATATATATTTATATATATATATTTATATATATATATAAACTATACGATATAATTTTTTTCCTATAATCAATTCTATAGTCAATGATTTTATTTATTAACGTGGCGTTATTATCATTTATCGAGGGACTTTACGATAATGTTACTTTTTTTTCCTTTTCCTTTTTTCTTCTTCTTCTTTTTTTTTTTTTTTTTTTGATTATAAATAATTTCTATTCGAGAGGACAGAATTAACTTGTTTATTTATTTATTTATTTGATGTCGCAAGAAACGTCGAACAATATCGAACTTTATTTTCCTATTTAATTTGTACTTCTGACGAGATGGGCGAGTATAAAATCGTATAGAGCGTACTTACGCGAGGGAAGAAACATCTACATTAATGCCGTAGAATTGTTACGAAAATAAAAGGTAGAATGATTTTTACGACGAATCCCCCGAGACAGCAGCTTCGGGAAACAGGTTTAACGCGATGGTTTTTATAAAACGCGGTAAAACTTTGTATATCTTTACATTTATCAAACTCGTTTATAGTATTTAACGGATACGTATTGTACGTAGAGTTATGCCGTTACATATTTTCTCAATTTACTATATGCATAGAAACGTTAATCGTTTTTATTTAAATTGTGTGAATCAATTTTCCACAGTTTTTTGAAATTGAAAATATTTTCCTTGAGATCCTTTTCTAGGAACGAAAATACATATGTATATTTATTTGAAAAACAATGTTCTAATTTGCAAAAGAAAGAAAATTTCAAATAAACAAAGGCCGCATAGATTTGTCGGCGTGTTAAAGTTAAAACGATCTATTAAACTTAAACGAACGTTTTCGGTCAACGAACGCGCGCGCGCATTCCCCGTATTAGTTTTTATTGAACGAATATTTGTACGTCAATCAATTGTGCAAATTTCGATTTGCTTGTAAAGGTTATTGGTATGAATCTTTAATTAAAAGAACGTCAAAAACATTAAAACAGTAGATAATATGATTACTACGATCGAAACAAATGGATTTAAAAGGATAATCCGGATTTTGAAATCCTCCCTTATTAAATAATCTGTGTTAAATAATAATGGGAAAGAAAATACGGCTATCTTTTTCCTTCTGTCACGTTTACAAGAAATGATTTACGTTCGTGAGCGTAAAGGTTGCCCCGTCAACTCGGACGCTTCAACCTTCTTTTTATCATCCCTTTTTTATTTTCGTCCTAGCTCTTGCCAGGGGTAAAAGAAGAAGGTCAGAAATTAGAGCAATTACGAGGATGCGTGATAATTCTTTTAATCTTCCGCCCTCTCAAATCCTTCTCAGTCGGTCGGTCTCTCGTTGATTTAGCGAAATGCAAAGAGATGAGAGGGCTACGCGTGGGATTCGTTTAAAAAAATGATATCAAGCTTTTTTCCACTGTTTTCTTTTTTTCTCTCATCCTCTCTTTTTTTGTTTTTAATCGCGAATCCTATGAGTCCTACATATTAACGTTATCTCTTTACAGATAAAGGAACACGTTGTTTATCATTAATTAAACTTGTTGTTTATTAATCCGATGATAGAGTTGGAAACGGGAACACAAGTTTACTTTTGCGATTAGTCGTTTAATTATTTAAGAGAAAACTTGCGTTCGACGATGTCGTACGTTAATTTTTTAATAATGACGACATCAATTAATTATTATTCTCGTTATTCATTATTACAGATTCCATATGGAAGAAAACAAGTCATTGGAGACACACCAGCGAGAAGGTCGAAGTTAACGGAGAAGAGAAGCAACAGCGAGAAACAGAGACCTGGAACGGCATTCAAGAGCGAGGAGTGGATAGAATGGTTGACCTCTGTGGACGACGGAGCCGTCATGCGAGTCATTAACATAACAAACGCATAATAATAGCTTGTAGGCATTACTGTTACCGCTACGTTGACTCTCGGGACGCTAGAGAATCAAGTCGCTTGCACGTATCTACGTATTTATGTACGTATGCAAGTATACATATATTCTGTTAGGTATCTCGGAGAACAGTAAGCCATCTATACCGTATGTTCTGCAGTGATTCACTCAGCTTGCTTGTTTTATCCATAACAAAATTCTGGCCGTAAGAAATTATACAAAATCAAAGCAAAGAGAAAGTAAGGAAAAAAAAAGAAAAAAGAAAAAAGAAAAAAAGAAACGATTCGTCGCGCGCATTCCTCCGATCTTGACGGCAAATCAAACGCCATTAAATTACTAATACACCAATCTTTGATTTATGATTTGTGGAACAGCGCGAAAACGAGTGAAGAAAAATCGATTTGGATTCGGAACGAATTATCGGCTGGCGAAGTGTGAAATTACGCGCGTTCCTTGCCGACCACCGAACAGCACGTCGTTTTCGCTCTGAACCTCCATTTTACCCTATGCACCCTATTTTCACATTCCAGAGTAAAAATATCGAAGTAAGCTCTTTATTTTCTCTCACGTTATAAGGTTTTCAAATACGTTATTCAAATTTTCCATTGGTCCTAGATTTTTTTCTACACTTTTAAAGTGAAACCAACCGTAAGACAACGAATTTACCCCCTTGCTATTCTCTTTTTCTAAAAAAAAAAGGAAAAGTGTGTCAAAACGTTCGAAAACACGTTATTACATATGAAAGCATACGGAGCATATAAAAAATGCGATGATCTATGAGATAAAAAATCTCAGATAAAAAATCTATGAGATAAAAGATTCTATATATATATATATATGAAATTTCGAAAGAAAACCTATGTCAACATTACACTGTAATTGCATCCGTCGAATTAATCACGTATGCGATTTTCAAGAGTACGTTAATACATTTTATTCTATATGTATGTGCGTGTATGTGTATGTGTGTGTGTGTGTGTATCGACAATTTATGTATATAGTCATGCTCATCTTATGGTATAGACACTTGATAAGAAAAAAAAAAGGAATGATTACAGCATCTCAACGCTGAACGTCATCCGTGCTGCTACCCTGGCCTCGAAAATGCATTTTGTGAAAGTGAGAGAAACATAGCTGAGGATAGAGAAGGTAGGAATTAATGGGCGAACGAGCATGCGCGAGCGCGCACGCGACCAACAGGGAGAGAAAGATTTATCGTCCTCGAAAAATCCATAATACCGACAGAGTTAGAGTATATTGAATGGTGAATAACTGAATTCGTGTGCATCGTGATACTATTCGTGTGCATCGTGGAATATTTTTAATAGAGAACTTTATTTGGAATAATAAAATTGTGAAAATTTGTCGATAATCTTTCTAATCTTACCCTCCTTCATTAGATCGAGATTAGATTGATAAAGGAAAATAGTTAATCGTGGTTTCACTATAAATTCCTTTTTTTCTTACTTTCAATACGTATTATCTATATATGTATAACATATAATGATTTTAAACGGATGTCAAACAATAAGAAAAGTCTAAGTTACTTTTTCTAAGGAATTTTTCTTTTTCAATTACATTTCTTTGACATTTTGTTCCTTTAATAAAGCATTATCGAAATACAACGCTTTTACAGAGGACAAATAGTTTGTCGTCTTGAAAATTCACAACTTGTTTTTCTTTCATTTTATTTTCTTCGTCGTTTAAAGAGAAAAAGCAAAAGAATGAAGGTTCAAAAAGGATTTCTAATCGAAGTTGGATTTTTCAAAGAAATTACACACGTGTGTCATGCGACTCCTGATCGAGTTCCTCCGATATATATATATATATATATATATATATATATATATATATATGTACATACACACACACAAGGTATATACGAGAGAGTTCAAGAGAAAAGGAAAGAGTAAAACAGAGAAAACGAATAACTCTCTTTCTCTCTCTCTCTTTCTCTCTCTCTCTCTCTCTCTCTCTCTCTCTTTCTCTCTCTTTATCTCTATCTTTCTCTTTCTCTGAAGAGTAATTTCAAAAACCACGAGAGAGCATATCGCTGCGTTGAAAATTGTGCGAAGATACTCGCGTTTAATCTTTTCTTTAGGTTCGTTTCAAAGCTATACAAGTTTCTCTTTACTAGATGCAAAAACACGAGGAAGTTATGATCTCAAAGGGAATCCACGAGACACGAACGAGAAGGGAACGAGATTCGGTAAAGTTCACGGAGCTTAAGAACTTTTACGATTGACGTTAGAAAGGACGTAACGCAAAGATATTAATCTTTTTTAGCCCTCTTAGAATCGTTCACGTCGAGATTATAATCGTTGGTTGGTATCTAAGTATAATTAACGTCGACAGTCAAAGATCGTGTTGGCCATTGTGACATAATGAATTTCCCAATAAATTTTCCAACGTTCATACGAATTTTTGTCTTCTATGGGAGAACTTTCTCAGATCGAATGACACGTAATACGATATTATCCTTAGGTAAAACTGATAAATCGATAAAAAGAAAAGAAAAAGAGTAAAAAAAGAAAAAACAAAAAAGAGAGAGAAAAAGAAAAGGAAAAGAAAAAAAAAAAAAACGAACGACAAAGTTTGTCGAATTACCGTGATGGCAGGAACGTCCCACGTTGGTGGTACCGTAAAGACGTTTCAAAAGCTTATTTTGTTATGCTCTTAACGAAGAAGAGCAAGAGGAGGAAGAGAAGAAACTCGTTTCGAATGAACGCCTGGTAATTCCATCGGATTTAAAAGCGGCTTAACGATATTGGGCTAGCCTACTTTCTCGAAGCGCATTAATTCGCCGACGACGACTATGAAAGTGCAAGAGGAACTGGAGGAGACGCTCGAAATAGGTAGGTAGGTAGGTAGGTAGGTAGATAGATAGATAGATAGGTAGGTAGGTACCGTCTCCGTCCGTCGCGATAACGCGCTTATAGAATTTTTCTTTTATCGAATTTCCGAAAGTGTCTCATCTTTAACGTGCGTACTCTTTATTGCGACCTAGTTGCGAATGACAATTCTTTTCAAACGTGATTTATATCGATTCTATGAAAAATTAAAAGAAGACACATTACAACACCCATTTCTTTTACAAATTTATAAATGATGCGATTATAACGCGTCGTTTACGCGTTAATAATTTTATAGGAATGAAAAATTGAAAACGAAAGAGACGATTCGACTTTGATCGATGGTAAAACCGATCGTTTCGATAAATCTATCTAGAAAAAAAGGACAAAAAGAAAAAATAAAAGAAAAGTAAAGAAAAAAAAAAGAAAACAAGGAGAGAGAGAGAGAGAGAGACAGAGAGACAGAGAGACAGAGAGAAAGAAGAAAAAAATAAGTAACGAACCGCTTAGACTTCTCGATTAGTTCGAACACATCGATGGTGTATAAGCGAAAATCATTGCCGCCATTCGACAGAAGGGTGAACGCGATTTTGCAGGGCCACGATCGGTCATACGGTTGCGAAATCGCATTAACGTGGAGTTAACATCCGCGATATCGGTGGCTTCGGATCACCGGCCAATTATCGCAACCCGCCGGCGAGCGACGACGAATCGGCGCCATAACCGACAACGCCCGTACGAATTTCATCCTCAATCCGTGTGCCAAACTAACTCTCCTCGTAATTTTCCACCTGCGTAAAAGTCATCCTAACCCGTGCCCTTCCATCCTCTTCATTCTCTCTTTAATTTTCCATACGAGTAATCAGATGTGAAACCTTACTCACGGTATTATACGAATGTGTCTGCCCTTTAATACCAAACATTTCGAAATTCACGTATTACTTTTTCTACGATATTTTCATTTAATTCCGAGGTTGAACAAATCTTATCATTTTAAAATTTTTTCCTCGAATCTTCCGCAAACGAAGCGCAAGGGAAAGGTACAGCACGATACAGAAAAGATATCAACGTGAACGTATTAAATTTTGAATTTAAATTTCATTTCTTTCTGCTCTTTTTCTTTTCTTTTCTCTCTCTCTCTCTCTCTCTCTCTCTCTCTCTCTCTCTTTAATCTTTAAGATAACGAAAAATGATGAAGGCAGAAGAAATAGGGCTTTTCAAGAGCACGATTTCGTGCTCGTTCGTGCGTCATCGAATAAACGACGCTTGGATTCCTTAGCAGTAGAAGAGTCACGATAAATTAAATACCGAAGGAAAAACGAGAGAAGGTACTATATCGCGTTGATTCACTCACGGGATTTCTCTCGCGCTTCTAAGGAACATTACGGATGTGTGTCCGCAGCTCGAGAATGATCCCGGGAGAAATCATAGCAAGTATTTTCTAGCTGGATTAATAGCCAACGACGATGCCCATTGTTTTTCAAAGACGATATTCTCGCGTAACTGATCGATAACAAATTTCTACGACGGCAAACTTGTTGCAACGAGGAAAATATGAAAATGTTTTGTAACAATTGAAATGGAAGTATTACAGAGTGACGTAGAAAAAAGAAGGAAAAGAAGAAGAAGAAGAAAAAAAAAAAAGGAAAAAAAAAAGAAAAAGAAAGAAAATATTTTTTTCTCTCTCGTTAAATAAATACAAATCACTTTTATGTCATATTTGGAATTTATAATAACATGTAATTTATCCTCTTTATAGCTTACATTAATTCTGAATTACTTTTCACGTTACATCGCTAACGAATGAGAATTAATTTGTAATTGGATCACGCAAATACCTGAATACCATTTTCTTCCATAAAGTTTCGATTGATTGATACATCTGTCCGACTTACCTGCAACAAGAGGAAAAAAATATATAATATATTAATAGAAATCTGTTTGTAATTCAAATATCATTCAGGTTGTAATACTTGTAAAAATTAATTGGTAGATAATTTTTTACTTTTTTTTTTTTTTATTTTTCATTGACTCAAATGAAGTATTTAATCGAAACAAGACTTTCTCTAGAACGGAACGATTAAATCATAAATCACTGAAATGACTCGAGATTCTGAAAACGTCGTTCTTAAAGCAAAAACTTTTTGAAAAGTGTGAGAATGAATGAATGAAAACTGCGATTAGAACTTTTATAGGATCAATTTGACTTCTCTGAATTTACTAAATTATCAT